GCGACGACGAGAATGAAATGTAGTTTGTTTTGTTGGTGTGGTGTTGTGAAGCGAAAACAAACACATCACACAAAACTAGTAAGAAGTCGCAAGAATAATAGTCAGTCACCTACCTATAATAAAATTACTCTCAGGGCCCTAGCTTACTTATAAACATTGACTCAACTCACTTACCTACAAATTTGTATTTTTCGTCTTAGATGTTTCAAGTATTTTATTTAACATATTTTAGCGTTTTTATTTTACTTGAAGCTTTTTAACTAATGTTAAGCCCTAGCCTACCTACAATTGTTTAACTCATCTCAGTCCCTAACTTACCTATGAATTAAATTAAAGCCCGGTTCACGGTAAAGAAAATATAAAGTTGAAGAGAAACATAGCAACAACGACACCGAATGAATGGATGTTGTGTATGTATGTGTTGTATTGATGTGTGTGTATGTTAATGTGCGGGCGCGCACTCTCCAGAAACTTCACTCACTACCGACGAACCTCCATTGCACCGACCATCATCTGACACGCATCGATGGAATGAATTTGACCGGATACTGAAAAATAAATTGAAAAAAAAATTAATTCACTAAAATAAAAAACAAGCAATTGGAAAAAATAGGCAACTTATCTTTTGGAGATAACACTCAATCTTTGTTCAAATTCGAGTACTTTCAAAGGTACAATGAGACAAAAACAAATTTACCTTTAACATTATCTTCGATTTGTCATCGGAACGATCATCATGAGACCACCATCTGAAACGTGCTGATGCCCACCACAGCCCACCTCTCATCATTCTGTAGACAAGGTTTTATTAATTAGCGAAGTAGTAAACAAAGGAGCGAACGAATAAATGATTAACTGAATGATTGAACGATTGGTTGAATGAATAAATTAACTAATTAATTAATCAACCAATGATTTAATGAATGAATAGAATGAATCAATGAATAAATTAACTGAGGATTAATTTGAAAGATAGTGATAAAATGAATGAATGAATGAGAAAAATAAAAAAAAGAAACTAAATCATACTTCAAAAACCGTCGTTGTTATCTTCGAATTGTCATCGGAACGATCATCATGAGACCTCCATCTGAAACGTGCTGATGCCCACCACAGCCCACCTCTCATCATTCTGTAGACATTTTTTTAATAGCGTATTAGTAAATCAAGGAACAAAGGAACGATCGAATAAATGATTAACTGAATGATTGAATAATTGGTTGAATGAATGAGTGAATGAATGAATTAATTAATAAATCAAAGATTCAATTAATGAATAGAATGAATTAACGAATCAATTAATAGAAGAATAATTTAAAAGGTTGAGTGATAAAATGAACGAATGAGAAAAATAAAAAACGAAACTAAACCTTACTTCAAAAATCGTCGTTACTGTACTTTCCATTGCACCGACCACCACCATCTGGTCGGCACACAAAATACCATCCAAACTTCAGAGTGTCAGTCGAACAGCCAACGAGCTGATTCTTCCTACACCACTATCATCATATGTAATCATCATGAGACCACCATCTAAAACGTGCTGACTCCCACCACTGCCCACCTCTCATCATTCTGTAAACAAAATTTTTTATTTGCGTAGTAGTAAATGAATGTTAGAATCTTAGAAGCAAAAAAAAAATAAATTATAAAATGAAAATAATGTCAAATAAATAAAATTTTAAAATAATAGTGATTAAAATGTAAAAAAAACTTACCGTCGTCCATTCGATAAAGGCAGAATGTTGAATGCGGTTTGGTTCCTACGTTGTCCTCCAAAACTGGTGCCAGTCCTCCTCGAGATTGTTGTTGAAACACAGCCCGTGTTGATGGAGAAAGAAAAAATTCTCATCAGAAAGCTTAGCGGTGCCTGCATCTCAAATTGCTTAATAAAAATAATCCTATCTACCTATTCAATTACCTTAGCTAATCTATATTAAATTGTTAATGGTACGATAGTCGAAAGTCCTCCTTCATTCTCCCTCCTTGCACAGAGGCTCACCGACAGCCAGGGCACCGGATAGTAAACCATTGCCGTGCGGATAGTAGACTATTGCCGTGCGGATAGTAAACCATTTGCCGTCCGGAAGCCGTGCGGGTAGTAGACTATGGCCGTGCCGCATGGTAAATCATTACCGTGCAGATAGTAAACCATTGCCGTCCGGATAGTAAACCATTGCCGGTTCACCACTGGCCACCAAGGCTTACCTCTGACAAGAGACTTGAAATCCAGAGT